ATCAACCCTCAGTCCAGCATTCACAGGCAGCAAAATGCGAAACATGTTCCAACTGGTGTTAAGTCTGCCCAACAAATGGCTCTGCATTTGAAAAAAGAAACAACAAAAAATGGTACCACCTATACATATATATCTTGCCCTACCTCATCAATTCCCTTGATTATTTTCTTCTTTTTTTAGGCTCCGTAACTTTGGAAATGAAGAGCCTGTTCACCAAATACGCAAATGATGTGATTGCCAGTTGTGCTTTTGGTCTGGAAGTGGATTCTTTGAGGAATCCTGAAAACGAATTTTATAAATTCGGGAAGAAAGTTACAGGATTTGGGGGACTGGATGCCCTGTTGAGGTTCTTGGGCTTCAATTTGGCACCATCTCTTATGAGGGTGAGTTGGTAGATAGGATACATGATAAAAGATAATCTTAGGAGTAAAAGATGAAAATCAGGTTGAAAGGTAGAGATATCTTATTTTGGCAAGGATGTTCTTTGGAAAACCATTGACCAACGTCACAATGCAATTTTAGGCTTGAACTTACTCAAACAATCTATCCATTGATGAGACCAGAATAATACCATCTACCAAAACACTTGAACCATAAAAATTCCAAGACAAAACGTGCACATTTTTCATCACTAATTTTTTTAAGTTTTGGTATTCAACTCTCTTTGCTTCTCCCCTTAGGCTTTAAACATCAATTTCCTGGACAAACAAACCATGAAATTCTTCCGCGGTCTGGTACACGACACAATGTCTACACGAGAACTACAAAAAATCTCCAGACCAGACATGATCCATTTGTTGATGCAAGCACGAAAAGGAACTTTACGAGATGAAGATAATGCCAAAAGCGATTCGACCGGTGCCAGAAGAGGTAACAACCTTGAACCTAATCAAAATTTATTCTTTTAACCAGTTTATTTTATTTTTACCAGATTGGTCCGATGATGAATTGACTGCGCAAGCCTTGATTTTCCTCATAGCTGGTTTTGACACGACGTCAACGTTGTTGATGTTTTTGGCTTACGAATTGGCGTTGAATCCAGAGGTACAAGAATGTTTGCAAGAGGAAATTGATAGTATTTTTAGTGCTGATGGTGATGAAGGATTGACGTACGAAAAGTTGGCAAAGGCTACGTATATGGATATGGTGATATCGGGTAAGTGGATCAAGGATAATGGACATTTTTGGTAGTAACTTTTGAACGCGTCAAGATAATTGGATGCAGTTTTCAGCAGAGAATTGAATCATCTACAAGTTTTTTTTGCAATAAAGCTATGTACTTAATTTTTTTTTCCAGTGCACCAAAATCTTATTTCAATTGGTGCCAGCTTCACGCGATTCGAAAAAAACACTTTGAACACTAATATTTTTTATTGTTTTTGTAGAAACTTTAAGGAAATGGCCACCTGTAGTCTTCCTGGACAGAATATGTTTAAAAGACTATGAAATCGAAGACAACATTGGCAGAAAATACACGGTGAGTATATAAATTAACCCACTGTACTATCCAAAGTTTTAAAATTGGCCGTGCATTTATTTACAGAGTTATTACTTGTAATCAGCAAATTGTTTCAAATTAAAATCTTTACTAAAGTGTCTAATCAAACAATAATCTAGACAAATCGGAATACTCATGAAAAGGCAATAGAAATTAACAAATCAAGGCAAAAAAAATTATTTGTTTTCCTCTTAATTAATTTTCTTATTTTTAAAGGTCAAAAGGGGCGAAGGTATCCTTTTCCCAGTTTACCACATTCACAGAGACCAAAAATATTTTGCTGATCCAGAAAGATTCGACCCTGAACGTTTCAATGATGAAAACAAAAAGAATATACAACCTTTCACTTATATGCCTTTTGGGGTCGGACCAAGAAATTGCATAGGTAAGAAAAAAATGTAACGTAACATTAACGGTACTATTACGTAACACATGATACATCATATTGGATGAGCATCAACACTATAAAAATTTCAAAGAAACTTATAATATTCTTAAAAATATTTAAACAAAACCCACCTCTTAGCTTGCAATCAGTCATCTAGGTTTTCCTTTCTCAGGATCAAGGTTTGCACTAATGGAAACCAAAGCAATGCTCTTCATCATCCTGAGCTCATTCAATTTTAGAACCTGTCTGAAGACTGAGTACCCTTTGAAGTTGTCGAAAAGAGACTTTGACCTGGTTCCTGCCAATGGAGTGTGGGTCGATGTGGAACCAAGGAAAAAACAATAGTAGATGAATAACTAAAATAATAATAATAGTTAATAAAAATTGTTGTTAATAAAATAGATAACCAAGATTATTTTTAAATATAAAAATGTTTAAGAAAAGATTTTATTAGTTTTGAATATTTTTTATTGTTGTAATATATATATATATATATATATATATATATATATATATATATATGTTATATAAATATTTAGCTAATAGTTATTTCTAAATTCGTTTATATAAAAATTATTTTAAACCTTGACTAGAACATAAATGTTTGCGTGAATAAATATTTATGACTTAACAATTATATTATTATATTTTTGCGATTATAAAGGTTCAGCTTTAATATATTTTATTTATTTAAATATTTAAAATGAACTTTATAAATATATTTATAAAAAGTGCTTGCCATGTCAACCGAACCTAACACAATGCTTTCCCATACATTTTTATTTAGGCTTGGATACGCATAGTGAGCGTTACAAGAATATTTTTAATACAAATTTGGTTAATTAATATTACAGTTATTAAGAGAACTAGGTGTGAGTGATATTTTGATTAAAAAATATGTTTGTGATGTAACAATAACATTAACATTAAGTTGCATGTACGTTTGATGTATAAAAATGATCCATTTAATGAATACAAATTCCAAACTTATTTAAAATTGTGGACTTTTCATTCACATAGACCAGTGAATACCAAAGTGGTCCATATGGACCCTCAGGGCTTCATGACAACTTTCAAGGGGTCCACATGAGCAAAAAGGAATATTAGACATCCACAATAGAGGATCACAGCACATCTTGTTAATATCTATTTTTTATCATTTTACAGTCAATTAATTAATGTCTGAACTTGTATTTGAATTATATATAATATTAAACATTTAAAGTAAAGATCCAAATATATGTATAGACATTAATTAATTGTCTTTGAAATGATAATAAAAAATAGATATTAACAAGGTATGTTGTAATCCACCAGTGTGGATGTATAATATTCCTAAACATTAGTACAAAGAGAAATTTATTTAAAAAAAACATATGGGTTAAATAGGGGGTTCATGGCAAAGCCTAAGAAGTCCACGACACAAACAAATTTGGAAACCTGTGATGCAGACGACAAAGTTTGCTCTCATTTTTTAATTAAAATAAAGAAATGACTCGGCCGATCGTTTCTTAATACAAATTAACGCGAGTTTATCCAGTGGCTTTCAAAAAGTCAAATTTTGTTTCACATATATTTTCCAATTTTGTTGTCAAACCATAATAAGAATGATTAGAAATCGCAAAATTATGAAATCGAATTTTCTGGCCAAAAATTTACTTCTTATTCTGGGAGTTATATAAGTATAATTAGATACAAACAAGTATGATCAATGGCAAACATCAAAATTAAAATATATATTATAGCTGAACCTAAATATATATATATATATATATATATATATATATAATTTCCCTGTGTATACATTTATATATTATTGAGCATTTAGTAAAGACATCAATATAAATAAACAATATTAAATTGTATACATTTATATATAATATCTAGTTGCCATTACTTTTAGCAATAAACAATAAATCTAGTACACCTAAGTCTGTTTTTACACGGTCTTTTTGTACACGGTTTTGATATAACACGGTTTGAAAATTGAATATTTTTATTTTTTTACACGATTTTATTCCATTTAGCACGATTTGAAATTTTATGTACTTAATTTTTTTTGTCAAATTTAATTTTTGCGAAGTATGTTCATATCACAAAAAAGTATTTATGAAAGTAAAAAGTCTGAAACCATCGACAGTATCGATAGTTTGCGAACACTAGCTTAAAGATTTAAGTGAATTCCCCTTTAGCGCATACAAACAATTTTTACTGGTCAAAGCAAATGTGAATAGCACTAACTAAAATAAACATAAATTCTTGTTCTTAAAAATTCTTGTTTTTCACTAATTTTAATAGGTTTTAGAGATTAGGAACAAATCACCCATTTTTGTATAAGATCAATGTCTTTTTTTACACTTTTTTTTTTACACGGCTTCTTCTGGAATCAATCCACTGTGTAAAAACAGACTTAGGTGTATTTCATTAAATATATATATATATATATATATATATATATATATTATAATAATAATATATTTCCTACATTCATCTAATAACATATTGAATAATATCATCAGTCGCCTTAATTCTATGTTAAATTAGGAACAATTAAATTTATTAAAATATTTTTATATATATAATTTATGAATAAAATATAATATATAAAAAGAAATGCTTTGGAATATATTCGTAATTATTGCATAAATATATAAATTTATAAATAAATATAATATGAAAACTTATCTTTTGACTGCATAATCTTTATGCCTTAATTATATAGGGTGGTCCTTAATATTGATATTTTCGAAATTTTTTGCTCTGAAGGGCTCAAATGCTTCCAAAATTATAAAAAAAAAATCTCTGAAAGTTTTAGCTCTTAATATTAACTTTTAAGATAGCCTGCACTCTTTTTTATCAATTTGGAAGTATTTGAGCCCCTGAGGGCAAGGAAATCAAAAACATCCATAGTAAGGACCACCCTAACATATATAAATCGCCTATATAACAAGTGATGACATTTACTTTGAGTTTAAAAAATTATTTGTAAATAAAATATTATTATATGTATAAATAGCCTTTTACTAACTGTATTAAATAATATTACCATCCACTACTACTTCAAGACTTTGGTTTCATGTCATCATCAGCAAAATTAGCAATAAAACTCACCTTCCAACTTCTCCATATATAATCATCTATAATTAATCTAATTATCTTATCTGAATTATTCAATTCCAAAAGTATTGGTCTCTTCAACAGCCAAAAGCAGTTTCTCATGCAAAACCTCTGGAGTGGCATAAGGAGGCAGGTCCAAGCGATTGAAACAAGTGTGAGCTCTGGGCAAACTGTTTGGTTTGCCCCATTTTTCTATGCAGAACCTAAATGGTAAAGGAAAGATATAAATATGTATTTTACTTTAATACCAGTTATCCTATTGATGATAACTACAATATATATTTACATATGATCATTACCTTCTAGGTCCAGTGGAGCCTCTCAATGAGCTAAATCCTTCATAAGGTATACTACTAGTTCCAGTAACAAATTGTAAAAGTCTTAATCTCTGCTCATTTGTGAAACGATCCTCGATGACTTGCCAAAACCATAAAATGACCTGACAGAAAAACAATTTGTGAACAATTTTGTAGGGAACAAAAGTAGAAGGCAAAAGGCAAAATCATGTTACAACTTCATGCTTTGCAGAAAAAAATATTAAATGTATAGTGGTTAAAAACATTTTTTTTAGTAAAGCTTATCATGCATGCCTAAACCTTAGCAAAAATGGGCGTAAAAGCTTTGTGTTAGGCTTGAACAGCATAGTGAGCATTCACAAATGTTTTCAAAATTTTACAATATTGATTTTTCAACAAATTTAATTCGTATTTAATTATTGGTCTATAATATACCTGGTGTGCGTCATGATATCCACTTCTATATTCCGTATTTTGCCGCCAATCCAGAACGTCAATTTCTGCAGTACCTATACAAATATAAAAATAACTTACAAACTTTTGATAATTAATTTAAGAACTCTGCTGATGAGAAAATTAAATATCGCCCTGACCAAAAAACAAGTGAAGTATCTAGACAAAATCAGTGAGTTTGTATCATTGAATTATTTACCAGCAATGACCAATTCCAGTTCCCGTGCATCAAAAACAGAAACCAATCTGGCGTCAACAACTTCATAAAATCCGCGAACTAAAGATTCCGTCTGTTCAGCAACACCGCGTTCCAGTCTCCATCTTACCATTCTTTCTAAATATTCCTGAAAAAAAATGAATAGATTAGATGGATTGTAATGACTGGATGTGTACCAGGTTCTAATACTGACTTTTTTGTTCTTTTCTGTGACCTGGACGTGTTTACCACCAGGTTTCAATTCCCTCTCGACGACTCGTCCAAGAAGTTCTTCAGTTACACAGAAATTCAACTCAAGAGCACCTCCAGTTCCACCTTGGCCAAGGTCGTTCTCTCGGATCCACTGTAAGGATTGGTGGAACTCACTGTCTAAGGATTCTGAAAAATTCAATTTTTATAGATAATTATCATTATCATTAAATTTAAAAAACGTGAGGTTTTTGCAATTTACCTAAATCGCTCAACGCTACTGGTAGCCTTAAGAGCGCCTTGTAAAACGGCCTGGTGAAAAAGGCGTCCAGAAGATACTGGTGCACTAAGGCCAAGCCTAAGACTCTGCCACTAAAACGAAACCTGCAAAAACACCAAGCATTAACCAATTATTTACCACATTTTCTGTAATATTATCTCTGCACCTCTCACTTACCAATCGTGACAATTATCTACATAGGCGCTTGCTGGTGATACTTGCACTGTGTAAGTATCATTGGCGGAATATTCGAACAAACCATAGTAAGGGTTGAACAATTCCCTCGAGAGCAGAAAGAAAAATTCTCTGGAAGGTCCTCCATAATCCAACCCTTCTTCACCGTCCCACAAAACTGCCAGACGACCCTTTTGGAGGTCCTTCTTGGCGCAGGACATGACTCGCCTGAAGGCGTCCTCCAGGAGACGAGATCTTCTGATGTGCAACCTGGGTAAAGGACATTTGTTTATTGTTTCTGTTGTAACGTTTGAAAATATTAATGATGCATTCGGCAGATTGGTGCACAATTAAATAATCTGCTATAGGTATTGCAAACAATATTGGCAGAGAGTAGACAATATTGGCCGACAGTAGACAATATTGGCAGACGGTAGACAATGGTGTCTAACAATATTGCCTAGACAGTAGACAATATTGTCTAACAATATTGTCTAGACAGTTAGACAATATTGTCTAACAATATTGTCTAGACAGTTAGACAATATTGTCTAACCACAACTCCCCATCAATTTTTTTAATTCCATTATCCCTTACTTCAACTTATGAGGTCCTTGTCCGTATCCCTTGCTCTCCAATTTCCTATAAAAAGCCCTCAATTTAGCCTCGAAGTCTCTCCTGTATGGAGCTGGTCCTCTGCAGGGGCCTCTTTGGATCGACACAGTCGATTGTGGGGTCTGATTGGGACTTGAATGAGACCCTTGTTGGTTGGAGGCGCTTTGAGAACCCGTAAGGGCTTGAGGGGTGCTTGAATGGGTCTGCTGAGTGGGCACATAGCTCATTATTTCTTGCTCGAAAAGGCTGAGGAATGGTAAAGGAAATATTTTGAATAAAAATATTGAATTGTAAAGGAATATTTATAGACAGTTTGTAATATTTTGAGCTAATTTAACTATTTGAGGTATTTTGCGGTATTTTCAGATACTTTAATGCGTTTTGAAAAATTTTAAGTTTATTTGTTACACTTCGATAAAATTCAATGCATTTTGAGTCGATTTGAAATACTGAAGATATTTAAATATTTTTTGAGGCATTGAGACCTAATAAGAGTAGGTTTTTTAAATATATTTTGAAGCAATTTTGAGAAATTTTACTATATTTGGACGATTGAAGACATTATAAGACGTCTTGAGGCGTTTTAGGCCTTTTTGAGACATTTTTAAAGTCTTCAGACATTTCGAGACATTTTAAGAAGTTTTAAGATATTTTGAGGCATATTAATATAAAATAAGGGATCTTAAAACATTTTAAGATATTTTAAGAGATCATAATACGTTAAGATATTTTAATACAGCTGAATGTATTTGAAAATTTAAATTATTTTAATTCTTCAAAGATATTATAGAATAATTTACGAGATTTGAAGACTTTTTAAGACATTTTAAGTAATTTTAATAACAAAAAATATAAAATAAGTACTTGAACATATCTTTGAATAGAGATTTAAATATAAATTAATATATTTTAGAATATCATAATATAACTTAATATATAATCGAATATTATAATTATAATATATAATATATTTGTCATTTATTTGTAGAATAAAGTAATTTGACTGTTCATTTTGAGAAGTTTCAAACTTTATAAGATTGTTTAAAATATTTTAAGATATTTTCAAATATCCTAAGATATTTCTTGCTGGCATTTCAATATATTTTGAAACGATCTGAGATATTTACAAACGTTTTAAAAGATTATAATTTACACATTTTGCACTAAAATTATTAGACATTTTCTTCTAAAAATGTGTATAAACATATTTCAACTAATAATAGAGTTTAAGTATATTTCCATTGAATCACAAGTTTAAATAAATTTCAACAAAAAATATTTTTTTATTGAGAGTAATAATTTGAAAGTGATTTGAATACATTACTCATCGGATGCATTAGTAAACTTTTTTGCATATATGATATTTGCGAAGATTTAATCGTGAATAATATTTAGCGTTAGATCAACTTTATAAATAAACATTGATATATATATATATATATATATATATATATATATAATTATATTCAAATATATATGTGTATATTCTGATTTTTTTGCATTTTTTGCAGGCGTGTATGGAATATATTACAAAATTATATATAAATAGATAATAGTTCATCGAATAAAAATATTGTATGATATAATTGGATTGGATTATGCGTATACATATATGTTATTTTTTGTACATTTGTACAAAAAATGAAATAAATAACATAGTACATTTATATGTAACAAATTTAATAAATAATATAGTACACCATTTTCCAATACGAACCAAAAAGTTTTATTTTTGACATTTTTTTTCAAATGAAAACCTTCAAAAATAAGATTTCCATTGGAAAATGATAAATTGAACATAACAAGTTTATAAGAATTGTATATCTTTATTAATGGTGGGTCTTTTTGATCCTTGACTGTCTCTTATTGCCCCGCCTATGAGGTAAAAAGGACCAGTTGTACAATGAAAAATTAGCTGAAAATTTTACTGAACATAGTCAGATAGTTGTTTTTTTGATAAGTGTTATATGTTTTCATATGGTTTAGTTTCCACAGTATAATTGCCGAATGTCAAATTAGACCTTTGTGCCCCGCCCTACCCGGTATATAAATATATATATATATATATATATATATATATATTGAATAAATAATTATTAAAAATTCGCACTAGCAAATTGATTTTAGCAAAATAGTTAGAGGCGTTTAGAGACGTGTTAAAAATTGATGAATGCTAATTGATAAATTATATATTTATATATATATATATATATATATATATATATATATATATGATTGTTTACATTATTAATAATAATGAACTAATAAATATACAATGCATCGCACGAAAAGTATCCGTTGCAAAAATTTTATTGTAATGAGATGTTAATTTCTTAGACAGCCTTGAACACCATTTTCAATTCATTGACAGATATATATATATATATATATATATATATATATATATATATATATATACAGTAAAACAACATTAAAACGATTTTCCAGAAGCCAAACCCAAAAAGCGTCCTTATGAGGGATATAATAAGTATACCTAGAAGCAGCTTCTACAAAAATATAAACAATGTTGATTTCTATTTATGATCAGATAAACAAATTTTAATAAGAATATATAAAACTTTAGAACATTAATTTAAAATTTAAGATTTTAAGTGAATCTTAACTTTTCCATCTTATGACATCACAAACAATTAAGAGAATGCACATTGTAAGGCACATTTTTAAAAATAAAAATGTATGTTCTTGCTTATGTATATTACATTTATTAAGTTCTTCATTTTCACTGACAATGCCAAAATTAAATGCCGAAATGTATGAAAAAAAAATATTTATATTTTTAAACATTTATACAAAATAAAACATTTATAGACACTTATACAATTAGATACATCATATAAACATTCATCTACATATTTGCACACTTTTGTACACATTTTATATAGTAATAAACTCACGTATACACATGTGCACATTTTACACACATTTTATACACACTTATATACATCGACACACATTTATGCACACTTATATACATTTGTATACACTATACATTCAAATACATCATCTATACAATAATCTACAAATTTGCCCAAATTTATACGCATTTATACATATTCAGACATATTTATACCTAAATGTATAAATATGTATATGTACTCATTTTACATTTATACACACATTTATACATATCAAACAAATTTCTACGTCTTCATGGTCTTTATACACATTCAAACACACTTATATACATTTATACACACTTATATACATTTACACACATTCAAACACACTAATATACATTTATACACATATATGTACATATTTTACATACGTTTATACACTCTTATACACATATGTACACATTTTACACACATTTTCTACACACTTATACAACAACACACATTTATTCATATTTATACACATTGACACACATTTAAAAACATTTTACATATTTATATACACACTACACATTTTAAACTCATGAAAACACATTTGTACAAATTCAAACAATTTTACACACGTATACACATTTAAACACACGTATACACATGTGCAGTGTGTATACGTGTTTTTAAACACGTAAGTGTGTGCACAATGTTTTACACACTTATACATCGACACACATTTATGCACACTTATACACATTTATATAAACTTTAACACATTTATATGCATTTATATACAGTGTCCACATTTATATATATTTAAACATTGTAATTTATCGACACATCTTTTAAAAATAAGTATTAAATTATTCCGAATAAATTAAATAAATAAGGTCCCGTACAAATATAAATTCTCATACATCATCATAAACGTATTTCATAAAACAAAACAATTATTTTCACAACACCAATATTTGTTTTTGAGATAATAATTAATATATTTTTGTCATTAGCGCTAATTGTCAAAATTAACTATGCAAATAATAAATACCGTTACAAATTTACAGAAAAATATATAAAGTAAAAGATAAATATTATTGTCGATTTGTTTTGCTAGTGAGAATATTGCGCTTTTAAATATTGACAGCAAAACCCTGTTAAGACGATTTTGCAAAGAATGGACCAAAAACGCGTCTTATGCGAGAATTAAACATGATCGTCATAATGGAGTTAAGCAATTAAGTCCATTGTTATTGATATAATTAAATATTTAGGTTTTTACAAAAAGTGCACTCACATGTGGAGGTCATTTGTTTTTGTTAAAAAATCTACTCAAAAATCTTATTTTGTATCATTTTTTTTTGAAAAAAAAAAACGTATAACATGTTTCGATGATTCATAACAAATTAATATAATTAACAATAAATATTAATATATTAATAACAATTTTTATAATTAATAAATAATAACTACTTACAGACTGAATAAAATCCCGAAGGCCTTCGTAACAAACCCCATCTTGTATTTTACCAAATAAATCCAATAATCGGTCAATATTGATTTCCATCAAACAAAATTCACACATTTCAACTTTTAAATTATATATTTTAATATTTTTTTAAATTTTAATTAAATTTTCACCATTTCTTCCGGCGCTTTCTCTTACTTTTGGCAATACTGTTCGGTGTC